TGGGGAAGAGTCCCTCTTCCATGGAGGAGGCATTATTCTATTTATAGTGGACAATTAGGTTAATGTGGAATTAGGTTAGGCCTTGAGCCAGCCCAATTCAGGCCCAACTAGCAGAGAGTTGGACAGGGCCGCTCAGAGGCGTCGCACGAGGCCAGCGGGTACGCACCGGGAGAGACTAAGGGGCGTACACTGGGTGAGGCTGGCGGGCGCGCACCAAAGTAGGCTGGCGGGAGAGCGTCAAGTCGAGCTGGCAAGGAAGTCCCCAACAAGGCTGGTAGGAGAGCACCAAACGAGACTGGCAAGGGAACGCCATGTAGCGATGGCAGGAGCGCGCTAGGCTAGGCTAGCGCGCTAGAGCAGTCTAGGCCATACTATAAACATTTTCTTAAATTATTAAAATTTTATTGGCCCACAATCATTCTTACATCCACACAATAATTACTTGGAATAGAGTAACCTAAGCTTATATATACATATATATATATATATATATATATATATATATATATATATATATATATATATATATATATAGGGTTAGGTTCATGTGAGACGGTCTAATTTTGTGAGACCGTGAGACGCATTTTTTGATTTTTAAATTTTTTTTTAGTTAATTCAAGTTCCGAAAATAATATTTAAAAAAAAAAAGAATTTTTTGATTTTTCCATTTATTTTGCATTTTAAAATTATTTTTTAGAATATGTTAGTATAATATTCTATTAGAATATTTCACATATTTTTTCAAAAAAAAATGGAATTAGTTTTTATTTTTTTTTTTAATTTTTTTTAGTTAATTCAAGTTCTGAAAATAATATTTAAAAAAAGATTTTTTAGATTTTTTCATTTATTGTGCATTTTAAAATTATTTTTTACAATATGTCAGTGTAATATTCTATTAGAATATTTAACTTATTTAAAAAAACGGATTTTTTTTTATTTTTTTTATTTTTATTTTATTTATTTTTATTTTTTTTAGTTAATTCAAGTTCCGAAAATAATATTTAAATAAAGAATTTTTGGATTTTTTCATTTATTTTGCATTTTAAAATTATTTTTAGATTTAGTTTCACGGTCTCACAAAATTAGAATGGTTTCAAATAAACTTGAACCTATATATATATATATATATATATATATATATATATATATATATATATATATATATATATATATATATTAGTTTATAACTCATACGAACCACGATTATAAAATTAATTAAATTTTCATATAAAAAAATCAAGATTATTTATCAGTTATTTTAAATAAATCATTACTTAAGAGATATTTTTTTAATTATGTAAAATTATAGTCGTTGATCTATATAAATACGTGAATTTTTATCATTTTATAATATGTATTAATTTTATTTAATTTTTAATCTAATGTTATTAATTTAATATATTTAGAATGAGAAAATTTAAAATTTGAAATTTAAATAAAGAATCAATTATTAATTTAATGTAATTAGAGTGATCAAATTTAAAATTGAAAATAGATAATAAGTTATTAATTTAATATAATTAGAGTGGAAATTTAAAATTTAAAATTTAAAATGGATTATTAATAAGTTGACAAGTGACATGATAAACGATATATAACATTAATGAGTATTTTTAATTGTATGCCACTTGTCAATAGGAGATTAAACATATTTTTTTATTAGAATCAATATATATATATATATATATATATATATATATATATATATATATATATATATATATATATATAGAGAGAGAGAGAGAGAGAGAGAGAGAGTGAGAGAGAGAGAGAGTTTATTTGAGAAAAAAAGATTGAGAATGAGAGAATGAATTTGGGCCACTTATTTTGAATCTGACGCTTAAACACTCTAGCGTACCAGACCGACGGAACATGTAATATATATATATATATATATATATATATATATATATATATATATATATATATATATATATATATATATATATATATATATATATAAAGATTAAATGAGAACACTTAAAATGTTGAGAACGTAGGAACAGTTTTGAACCAATTATCATATAAGTGCATAAAAAGAATTTTACAATATAATTAATTATGGATAATTTATGAGTATTTAATTAATTTCCAAAATCATGGGATTTAATATGATTAATAGAGTTTTTTTTAGCCAAATATTAGGAACTTATATAATCTATTTTTAATTAAGAAAATCAATAAAATGACTTTAAAAAATGTTTTTAACATAATTTAAATAAACGTTATTTTTTTGCTTTAAGTTTTTTTTACCAACTACATCAAAAATGCATTAATCATTTTATCCGAATATTAGTAATCATACATGAATAAATATATATATTTGTAGTCATATATGAAGCCGATAATAATCTTGCATGAATAGATGAATTATTTTATATTAATAAATGAATAAAATACAATTAAAGAAACATCATCATATGAAAACATCTAAATATGAATGGCTTCCATCATTAATGAATATACATTTGATCTTATGAATGCATTTAAATACATATTTAATCACTAATGAATACACATTTAGTCATAAATGAATAGAAAACAATGTTAAGAGACAAATAATTTCTAATATGGTATCCACTTTGGCTTCCTCGGTTAAAGAGATTGATTTGTTGTGGATCTCCGATGGGTCACAGAGGCGTGGTAGTCCGACGATGATTTTTCTCAGACCGCGTTAATCTTTTGTGCCACCCGACTTCCCTTTTCCATAACATTCTTTCTATGTATATATTTTTGTCTGATCAAGCTATTGTATCTGTATCAACATAAAAACCCAATATATATAAATGAATAAGACATGAGTGAAAAAAAAAATGTAATATAATAAGCTAGACTATGATATTCAGTGTTCATAAATGAAGAATGTATTAGTTAAAAAAAGAGCTTAACGTCTTAAGCAAATTTTATTTATTCATTGATGAATAGATCAATGAACAAATTCATATGTCTTGTCTTTTGACCTAATAAACAAACATGGTGTTCCTAATCTGGTTGGATAGTAGCAAATGGTGTTTATAATCTGATTGCAGGAAACTATAAAAAAAACTGAACTTTAAGGTAGTTGGAGTTATACGAGTATGTTCTTCATTCGGATATCGCTTTTGGACTAGCATTCCTCCTGAACGGGACCTCCCATTCATTATCACCACCGGCGGCGGCGGCCATTGTGATTGTTGTTCATATCTTGAATGAATAAACTTTAATATTGCTTTAGAAGTTTCACTTAAAGACACATAGTGGACCTGTAACATTCAACAAGTGAAACAACAAACTACTTCAGATGTGATAAAAATATATATATATATATACTTATATAGAACTTGCCACAAAACTACCCTTTAAATTTCCTGAGAGGAAAAGAAAACAAGAGACCATCGTTCCAATCCTAAAATGAGTTCATTGTGGCATTTTATCAAACACCAAATGGGCACCCGCCCCCCCCCCCCCCCCCCCCAAAAAAAAAAAAGATTTAAATTAATCAGTTATCTCCAAGTAAACTAAAATTGATGTATAATGGATGTAAGAACAAAAACATATGAGAGAATACTATGTATGTATATGTACCAGATAGGAGACGACCACGGCCGGCAAAAGCATTTAGAGCTACTCAACGTCTAAGTTGATGTCAAATTTGAGAGCTAAACTAAACTACTGTTCAACTGTTAGCATAAAGAATAGTTGCTTATCAAGAATGAAATATATATGCTATAAGATACATCCATGAAAAATAAGCATGATAATCATTCAGATTATACATTCATAAAAGAAACTTTAAACAAATAAAAATGTTAGACACAAGGTATAGAGAGCAAGAACTCCCTAAACCAAATATATAGGGGGAGGGGGATTACCGAGATAAAGGTGACAACGATGGTATACCAGGGAGTGTTGCGGTGTTAGATGATGAGCAGGAGGATGCGATCTTATTGATACAACCCTAAGTAGAAGATGGTGCTCAAAGATGGTGGCTGTGCGATGGTCGAAGATGGAGGATGGTGGAATATGATGAACGCAAACAGTGATGAAGAAGGTGGGGGTGTGCGGCCGTTTTTTTCAAAATAATTAGACTAAGGTTTTCTAGTTAAGTAAAGAGAGAGAGAGAGAGAGAGAGAGAGAGAGAGAGAGAGAGTTAAGAGGGAGAGAGAGAGATTATAGGAATTTCTATTTAATTAGATTATATGGATTTTCTGTTGTACCCTTCTTGCCATTTCAAAATTACATATTTAGCACATCAGTTTTATAAATGTTCATAAATGATCCATTTAATAATAGCCATGGATCTAATTATTTACAAGATTGTGATCTGTTTTCGCGTTCTCAACCTTTTAGGTGTTCTCATTTGTTCATATATATATATATATATATATATATATATATATATATATATATATATATATATATATAGAGAGAGAGAGAGAGAGAGAGAGAGAGAGGAACTGATTATTTATATATGAATATGACGATGGATGGTGATAGAGGTGACAGTGGTTGGTTGCGAAGGTGGTTGTGGTGGTTGGTGTGGTGATAGTGGTGGTCGATTCATATATTAATATAGTTATATTTATATTCTTATTTGAATATTACTTATCCTTTGACGCTCTCATACACCAAAACGTTTTGTAGCAAAAATAAATAATTTGCTCCTGATTTTTTCATTCTCAACTTTTCTTATTTTCAATATGTTTTCCAAAATATTTTATTTTCAATTCTATATTAAACCTATTATGTTTTTATTTGCTATTCTTCGTATAATTTGTAAATTTCAAAAGCAAGAGTAAATGTTTCTCCTAAAGAAAAGGAAGTATTGTTGGACATAACAGTAAAGTTGAAAATTTGTCCTAACTACTAGGATCACAAAAGATATCCGACCACAAATTTAAGGGTAGTAAATGAAACTCTTTAAAATTCCAAGGACATTTTTAGAAACTAACCGAAAGCCCGCCCCCTCCGTCCCTGCATATAAGATATACTTGTTCAGATTCTGTTTTGATTTGCCTCTCTCTCTCTCTCTCTCTCTCTCTCATCAATGGAGCTTCAGCGTATCCTCTCTTACATCTTCTTCCTACTTTTCCTATTAACAATCTCTGGTAATTTTACGTCAGAATTTTCAATCGACATCGACAAAACTAGTTATTTCAGCTCTTTCCTTTTGTGTATTGAATTGCCTACTGTGTCTTTCTGTAGGAGAATCAGTATGGGGGAACGAAGAAAATCAAGGAATGAAGACAGTGAATTGTCAAAAAAGCAGCGGATTTCGGCCGACGAAGCTTTTTGTGTTCGGAGATTCGTATGCTGACACCGGAAACAACCCGAAATCGCTGGCGAGCTCATGGAAAACCCCTTACGGTCTAACTTTCCCTGGAAAACCCGCCGGAAGATACTCCGACGGCCGTGTACTCACCGATTACCTCGGTATGATCCAAACACCATTACTTGCTTTCTTTATATGCATAAAGATTCAATTCCCACGCGTCCTCTTGGAAACATAAAAATTACCAGCTGCTTTTAGTTGGAAATTTTCTTATTATGGGGCCAAAATGTTATCATATTATCGTTAAAACTTGTTTATTTTTTCTAGTTTTTACTGATCAAGATAACTAAAAGTTCTTTGTGAGCAATCATGTTCAATTTAATACTTGAGAAAGGATTATAAGATTATTTCATTAAGACGTTAGTGTCATAAAAGGAGGCTTGCTTACATTAATATTCATCGAACCTTTAAAAAAGTTTAATACTTTGACATTTTGGTATGTGAAGTGTACTCGATTTAAGTATTATTTTTTAAACAATCCGTTTTCCTTTGTGAGAAGTTGTTTTTGTAAAGTTCATACTTGAATTTCTACTCAACAACAGAAGTCTTTAAATATTATTAATTTTGTCTAACATATAAGATTTATTAACGTTTTATACGAGTAGAAAGATAAATAAAAAAAAGATAGTAAAATATTAAAATTTTCTTTTGTAAATATTTATATAACATCTTTATAACTTTTATTCAAATTTATGAAATAGTGTTATATTATTTTTGTATACACACACATAGTACATATATATACATAGATGATAGATCTAAGATAAAATTGCACAAATGATCCTCATGGTAGACAAAAAATATCACTACAAATTCTTTTGACAAATTTTTAACATGTTTGGTTATTTTCAGATTTAAAACACATGATAAGTAGTTGTGGTTGACAAAAAAATGAACCATCATATACGTTTTAAACTTGAAAATGACGAATCATATTAAAAAAAATCTTTAAAAGAACTTACTGTTGTATTTTTTTTGCCAACTATAAGGACAATTTGTGTAATTATATTAAGATCTAATTCGTAAACATATGCTTCATCTCTTTGTCAATATCCATATGCTTCAATCGTAAGTCACATATCTTTTATCTAACAAAATAATATTGTTTTGTTTTCTAGCAATTTTTAGAACTTCGTTGTCATTGATCAATATAAGGTCAAATATATCAATTTTCGAATTTCAATAGAAAGTGACAACTAGTATTAAAAAGTGGTTCAAGTATGATCGACAGTTCGACACGTGAACAGTTGTGCTAATCTTTGGAAAAAATCATTCGTTTAATTGCCTAGATTTAAGTGGTAAACGTGTATATTAAATAATTGATGACATGTACTTATTATAAATAAAATAACTTGAAAAAAAAGAATATTATAGATGTTGAAACATGAATTTGTGCTTTTTAAAAAGTTAGTTGGTATGATGCCACTGTTGAGTAATGATAATTAGAAAGTAGTGGTGTGATGCCATTGCTTTTTATTTGCTTTTTTTTGTTTACATATTTAATTACTATATATTATCTATAATGACCTTTGTGTCCTTCACCTTTTTGTGATGTGTGTTATGTTGTTACGTGGAAGGTGTTATCCAACTTTATTTTTCATGTAATGGCATATAGGTCAATTTAACACATGGCAAAAAAAAAAAAAAAAAGAAAGAAAACATAAACATTATTTTGGTCTTTACTCTTTAGCTTTCTCTTTCTATGTTTTTGGTCTTTGGCTTTACTCTTTGTTCATCATCATTCCACATTATGTCATGCACTTTTGATACTTTACACTTTACCCCCTTCAACTTTCAATGTTGTTACAAAAAATACGTTAGTCCTTGACACGTATGCTTTATTTTTCTTTCCCCATCTTTCACGTCAATATATTATCCAATAATTGTGTCGATTATGTCATTTTCACATTATTTATTATATAAAAGGAATAAAAGTTCCCTAAATAGAGAGATTATGATATTTGATATTTGTAAGTACGAAATACATACCTAAAGTAGTAAAAAAAATGTTTGGTTTCTTTTTGCCTCCCAAATATCCAACAACATTGTGTGCACGAAAGGGTACTAAATATTCGAACATAAAATAATTGAGGGTTCAAATTACACATTGCAATAAAACTTGAGGGACTAGACTGTTAAATACTACTTATATGTTTTAAAACAATGTTACTTTTTATTCAAAAGAAAGCTACATCTACACAATGCATATAGTACAAACACACAATGGAAGTAACGATTATTGTAACTTTACTTTTGTGTAGTGCCATTGCCCATAAAAAAGAAAAAAGAGAAAGCACAAAAGCTTGCTTTTGTGAGTATATATCAAATAATTTTAGTGTTATGATGCCCTGTGCCAGCCTTAAATTGTCCTTCTTTACAATCAAAATTGCATTTTCATCTTGCATGCTAAGAAATTATTATCTATATTACAAAATTACCCTTCAAAATTTCGTATAGATACAATCTACATCTACTTCTACTAGCATTGTACACTAGACTTTTTCAGTCTGTTATAAAACAATAACTTTTGACTTTAATGGATGTGAAATGACAAAAACTTGGAAATTATAGTTTCTAAAAGACGTTACTAAATAAGCATAAATTGTAAATGAACAGGAAAATGTTTATTTTATAATTGTATATAAAAATATTCATCCCATAATTTTTTTTTTTCAGTTTCAAAATATTGTGTAAAAAGCATAAATTTGATACAATAAAAGTTTAAAATATAATTAAATCAAAAAAATATTCTTAGTAATGTTAGAAAATAACAAAAAGTAATCAATGAAGTTTAAAAATACTATTGTTACTAAAATTAAAAATAATTTATAATTATACTATACCATTTCATTTTATTAGAAGTTAAATAAAAAAAACAAAACACACACACATTTCCATGGAATGGAATTCAGACCGAAAGAAGGGATCAAATTGCTTAAGGGGTTGTATGACAGCTGTTTATTTTTCAAAAAACTTCTGATTTAAAAACTGTTATGCATGTGCTATGTGGCGTAATACTTGACCCTCTGCTTTAAACCTTACTTTAACTTATTGCAGCAGTCTGTAGAAGTTAAAAAACAAACAAAATTTTTATTATATGCTGAAGGCGTTTGGTCCTCATTTTCTGCTATAGAGGATTGTAGAGGTGATCTGCAGATTTTAGACGTTTTCGCTTAAAAAAAACAACCGACACCTCAGTGATGTCTATGATCAAATCGGAGGCATCTAATTTTGGTATCAAACAATCTGAATTTGACTGAGTCAGCCTATTACAAAACTCAACAAAAACCATATCAAATAACCACTAATGAATACTCATTTTATTCCGATATTTAAACAAACAATATATTTCCATGTCGTTTTATGATCGATTTTGTTTCCCTTAAGATCAAGGGGTCTAAAAAAATGCTATGAATTTGCAGCTAGGTTCATGGGAATCAAATCTCCATTACCATACCAATGGAGAAAATACGCGCCAACCAAACTCCGGAGTGGAGTAAACTTCGCCTACGGTGGAACCGGAGTGTTTGACACCGGCAATTTTCAGCCAAACATGAGCACACAGATTGGATTCCTTGAAGGACTAATTGAAGAATCAGTTTACGCAAAATGGGATTTGAAATCTGCGTTGGCTCTTGTCACCGTTTCCGGCAACGACTACGCTGCTTACACCTCTTCCGGTGGTTCTGACCAGGTAATTAAACCTCTCCTAACGTACATCCTTTGATGCGTAACGTACAATCACTTCATGCGTACATCTTTTCGGTTTTGACATTTGACGTGTTAGAAAGAGTAGTTAATGTGGCTCATTTTTTAGAGCTTTAATTAATGTTCTGATTTCTGAAATCTGACTTAACTCTATACTGTTTGTTTTGTTTCCCACAAATGTGACACCTATTTTTCTAATTGATTGCCATAATTTTTTTTTTCTATTACCTATTTTTCCAAATGTTGTGTAGTTGAAAAAAAATGTTTTTTTTTTTTTTTTTAAAATGTTTTTATCAAGTCATACTTTTTGAAATTCGAACTGTTATTTATACAGGGTTTGCCTACATTTATCACAAGTGTTGTCAATCAAATATCAATAAACTTGAAACGAATTCACGACATTGGTATACGACGAGTGGTGGTTGGTGGCTTACAACCTCTAGGCTGCCTCCCACAAATCACAGTCTCATCATCATACAATCAATGCAACGACACACAAAATTTAGCTGTCAATTTCCACAACCAACTGTTGCAACAAGTCGTAGAAACACTCAACAACAACACCAATAGTTCGGCTTTTCTCATTCTTGATCTTTTTAGCTCCTTCAACACAGTCCTAAAAAACAAAGGAGAATTCACAGGTATTTATTTCATCAATTGATTTGTTTTCATGAAGTTGAATATAGTGACAGATTTGATTTCCGTCGCTATTAAGCATTATGCTAATTTGGTCGCGAATGTTAAATGTATGTGAAATTGTTGACTTTAGGGAGCTTGAGGTTTGATACTCCATTGAAGCCATGTTGTGTAGCCACGACAAGCGAATCAAACTGTGGAAGTTTAGATGAAAATGGAAAACAACTTTATACTGTCTGTAGTAAACCTGAGGGCACGTTCTTCTGGGATACGGTGCATCCAACACAGGCCGGATGGCGTGCGGTTTATTTGACACTTAGGTCGTCTTTGAATCAAATTTACTATTAGGAGTTGTTGTTTTGCATGTTTTGTGTATCTTTTATTCTTGGTTATAAGTTAGGGAAGCCGTTTGATGGGTCCCAATCTTGAGGGATCTTTGGCGATTGTTTTGTTAAATGATAATGTGTTTTTTAGTCTATAAAATTGGAAAGTTAAATGTTATGTTGGTTAGAAGATCAAATAAACAAGCAAGAGTCGGGCCTTTAAATTACATGTATAAACATTCTCCTTTTGTAACCAACATATGTACACATTATACAATTGAATCACATTGCTTAAATCTAGGTATTGGCTTTTAATTTGTAACATAAAATGGTCTCAATCTATATCTTTATTATATCTATCTATCCTCTAATCTAATAAATAAGAGCATATGCCACGTGGCAATCACATTGCTTAAATCTAGGTATTGGCTTTTGTGACATAAAATGGTCTCAATCTATATCTTTATTATATCTATCTATCCCATTAAGTGGTTCTTAACCTTAAACTTAAGTTAGTGATTACATTATATAACAAACATATCACAATTCATAACCCTAACATGTATAAATCAATCATGAAAGCCATTAATCAGAAGTTTTGGTGAAGCTGTGATCTCGTGTTTTGTCTTGTGTTTGGCTGTAGGAAGCTCCTACTATTGTGAAATCTTACTATGACCAAAGAATTGTTGGTTGCCCTAAGTCTTATTTTTTCTGTAGTTTTGGAGACTTTAGTGGTATCATTATCATATAATATCTCATTTTATGTAATTTTTCTGTTAAAGAGGATGAGCATGATGTTGTTTGGTTTTGGCTAAAGAAAGAAGAAACGCATGAATGCCAAGTCTGCTCACAATATTTCAAGGTGAGTGCAAATTATTTCTTTATAAAAACAATGTGACATTTGATTAAATTGTTTCATATTTAATTATTCATACATTATAAATGTTTTTTGCGGTTGGAAGTAGTGGGCCCAGGAGGACTTCCAGATGGACTAGACGAGGATGAACATCATCATCACTGATTGAATTTTCCACCTTTAAAAAATATGCCAGAATAAAAATCTGATGAGATTAACAATCTAATTTGTCTTTTGTCTACATTTTATTGGTTTTGAATGTGTTTAATTGAGTGTGTGTATTGTTTTTTCGGACTCAACACTGTGCCTACACATATAATGGTAGCATCGAATATGTATTGTGTTTATTTTATTTTGTGTGTGTTTTTAATTGATTGTACACAACTTCATGTTGATTCACTGATAATGGTTTGGCCGAACGATATGTAACCGGTAGCATGGATATTTTATTGGATGTCAATGTGTAATTCAAGTAAGGTTTATAAAGAAATATTGCATGAGCGTATTCGTCCTTTGAATATGTCTTTATAATAGAAATATCACCTTACACAACTGAGAATACGAGTGATTTTGTGTTATTTGAGTATCTCTTTGTAACAAAAATAATACCTTACTTCTATAACAAAGATAATTTAGTTTATATGTTGTATTTTTACTAATCTTAATATCTTATTTATTATTTTTTTTCTAATAACATTGACATCTTTTAATAATTTTATTTTCTATACATTTCTTAATATCTTATACTAAGCATATTTTTTTTCACTATATTCAATTTTATATTTAATTATACAACATCATGATTTTATTATTAACCTAGACATAAATAAACGTTGTTCATATCTTCAAATCATTTTACATATTAATTTGTATTAACAATTATAAAGTTAAGAACAAAACATCCACTTTTTTTATTAGTATATATTGAATTACTTTTTATTCATCATTATATTTGTATTTATTTCGTAATAATACTTTAAAAAATGTTTAATGTTTACGTTTTGAGATTTTTTTTTAATAAACCCGTGTAATACACGGATCTTACACCTAGTATTTATATATCTAAATATCTATCTACATAACTCTTGGAGATCATCAAAATAAACATGGTTCAAGATAACCCTCTTGTCTTGAACCATATTCATTAGAAACCATGGAACACTTGAAATTATCTTGTTTAATTACCATATTCATTCTTGAAATTATCTTATTTAATTACTACGTTTGGAAATGTTCTTTCACTTATTATACTTAATTAGTTAATTGAAATTTGATTTCGGTTAAGTTTTTTTAATACTAGCAAATGAAAGTCTATATAGCAACTCTAACTCTTACTACACATATCCCTCCGCAGGGTTCGTTTTGACTGATTCTTTACCTTTGGTGCTTTCTATTTCTATAAGTAGTACTTGATCCCGGAAAAAGGTTAAAGGGATAGGCTTGATGCCAGATCCACTTTTAGGGTTGACTCAACAGTTGAAGAAGGTTGTAATTTGACTAGCTGTTCTCTCTTTCCTGTGCTCGCTAACTTTTTCATCCGTGATAATTGACTAAACTCTGTCAGGTGCTATTCAAAGTGCCCAAATACCGGCTCATGCGTGCCTGCTCAGTAGACACCTACTCAGGGCAGAAAATTGCCCTCTCATGAAACTTCCTGGTAACCACAGTAACAAATCAGTACCATGCTTGAGGGTCAAGAACTCCTGAGCCAACCGTTCCCTCTCAACTGGGGGAACATACTCATCTCTGAACATGGTGGTGAACCTCTCCCAGGTCACCTCTGAAATCTCTGCAAGAGTGAAGCCCGCCGTCACGAACTTCCACCAGTCCTTCGCTCCCAAGCGAAGCTGGTTCAACGCGAATCGTACCCTCAGATGCTCTGGACATGAACACATGTAGAAGCATCCCTCGATATCAGAAATCCATCTCATCACAGCGATCGAATCCTATGTCCCATCAAACTCTGGTGGCTTCGTGTTGCTAAACTCCCAAAACAACAACGAGTCACCTCCCTGAGGCCTGGCAGCAGCCACAGCTGCAGTAGCTGCAGCAGCCGCAACGTCATTCACTGCTACGTACCGTTGATCAAAAGTCTCAATCAATGTGGTCTTGATAGACCCAAACATCTCCAGAATCTCAGCTCGGATGGCAGCAGCCACCTCCTCACGAATCAATCTACGGATCTCCTCATCACTAACACCACTACTCTCAGGTGTGTGGTGTGTCCTAACCATGATGCCACTCTGAAATACAACATAAAATATCAGAGATCCGCTCGGGCATACTCGCACTCGATAACATAACCCTACTTGTTCCCTAGTACCCTAAGGATTCCTACTTGGACTACACACTGATACGGTGTCTTCGGTAGTACGTGCCCTTATACTATCGTTTACACCGCATCAGTATTCACCCCAAGTCCTCCTCCTTGGATCCCAGATCACAAGTACTCTATATCTCGCTAGCATAGGCTACCCTTCGGTATACCTCTCATAAGCTCCTCACTGCTACCTACTTACTCTCAAGCATCTAATAGCAACATAAATCTTCCTAGGCTAAGGCATCACAAATCAGGCGACTCTAGTCCTAATACGAATACCTAGCCTACTCTAGCATGCATATCATATCATAACATATCTCATAACACATAATGTAAGGGTATTTTGGGAAATCACCGTTCGGGCGGTGGCTGATCGTACACACTGCTCCGTTCTGCCTTTTTTAAAATCTTTTACTCTCTTAGAAAAGTTGTTTATTTTATGAAAAACTTTCTCAAATCCTCAGATTGAGTTCAGATACATCCGAAGTTGCACCCGAATCCCTCAAACCAAGGCTCTGATACCAACTTGTAACAACGTAAATTTTCAAAACAAATTTTCATTTTTAAATCATATTTTCCATCATCAAAATAATATCAAACAAACTATATCCAATGTCATCATAACAAACAAATCCCAGAATATCAAAGATCTCAAATACATAAATCCTCTCAGTGTGTACGGATCATGCCGATGCCTTCCCACGGTCCTCGCTAGTACCTGAGACACACAACATAACAATTATAAGCATAAATGCTTAGTGATTTCCCCAAAATACCACATACAACACATACGCCTTTCCAGTCCATAACTCTGTGGGACCCTCCGGTCCAAGTTTCTCAAGGGACTTCCGTCCCGAATCCCAGTAGACCTTCTGGTCATACCCGTATCGACCTTCCGGTCCGTAACCTCCTGACCTTCCGGTCCATATCATTTTGACCTTCCAGTCCTTATCATACATAGCATACATAACGCATACATATCACATATCAACATATAACACATACATCTCATACCATATAAGACCTTCCGGTCACACATAGGTAGCCTTCCAGGTACAGTATAGTGAGAAGACTCACCTCGGGTATCTCGGATATTCTCTCACACGAGAACACTGATCTAGCCCCCACTTAATCACATAAACAATACTAATAAATAATGTCTCTCAAAGGCTTGATTAAATCCATTTCTACAATCCCACAGAAGGGTAAATGACCTTTTTACCCCTCCCTGACCCAAAAGTCCAAATGTTGACCAAAACCCTAAAAGTCAATGAAAGTCAACCCTCCGGGTTATGTTGCGCGTACCAAATCTGTATGTTGGGCATACCCGGCGACTTCACAGAAACTGGGAACACGACCCCTTATGCTGTGCGTCCTGGGATTACGGCCCGCTTAACTCCCAGTTTCAGACTCCTTTTGATTTTGGGTCTTAAACGGTTAAGACACATGTCTAACTTTCAGATTTGATTGTCCCTAAGCCTCTTAATCCATAAAGTCGGTGACTTTAAGCCTTTGCATGGCTGTAAAATTCACCAACACCCATAACATTCCATTTCCAACACTTAAAATCCCAAAACTCAAGCATGACTCTATAATAACGACCAAGTTGGGATTTTTATGGTTCTACAACACATATATCACTGAAATGGGATAGATCTAGGTCCATGGAGTCCCTTATGCTCATAAAGTCCACCTTTGGGACTTTAACCCTAAAAATGGACCATGCATCACCAATCCAAAATAAAGAGGAAAGTTCTGAGCTTTTTACCTCTAAGTGAAGCTCCTCCCTCTGAAGAACTCAGATCCAAGCTTGAACTCCAAACCCTAGCCTCCATAAGCACCTTTATTTATTCTTCACTAAGACACAAAGGCACCTTTTGCTCAAAACACTCACACACAAGCTTTAGGACGAAGGAAATGCTCTCTTAGGGTTTCACTCTCTGATATGGTGGCTGAGGATAAGGCCTTAGCATTCCTTTTATAGTGCACAAGCCATAATTTAGGGTTTGCATCTGGGCCCGCTACGCCCAGCGTAACCCTGGGTATGCCCAACGTACCTAGGCGAGTCCGCATCCAACTTAAGCGCAAGAGTACGCTCAACGTACTCTCCAATACGCCCAGCGTACTCATTTGCAACACTTTCCAATCAAGGACTAATTTTGACAACTTGAAAAAAGAGAAGGGTTAAATAGCTGTACCTAAATTTCGGGATGTTACACATTCTATGATTATGGGTTGCTTTTGAAAAATTTTAATTTTAATTTTTTTTTTGATATTTAAGATTTTACAGTTAGAGACTTGGACCTAATGGATTTAGTTGAGAAAGATGCATTTTGAGTCCTTTGAGACTTAAAGTCTAGATCATGGTGGATTTGGACCTTCCTAATGGATAAATTTAGAAAATTTACCCATTAAGACATTGGAAAAGATCAGATATGAGCTTTGGAGCTCTTTGTAACGCCCGTAGATCCGAGCTAGTCAATTAGAGACGTTAAGCGTCAAAAATGAATTTTTGATGGAAGATTATTTTGAAGGAATAATATTAAGTAAGTTATAGTATATGTTACAAGGTTTCCATGCATATAAAGAACGCCGAAATTCGAGTTATAACGA